ATTTCTATCAAGTACCTATAATATATAATATTTTATATAATTATATATATTTATAAATTTAGGAAGTCTAAAAATTACAAATCAAGTTTTATTTCGTAAATTATTAGCAATATTTGTATTTATATATTTACTATGAGATAATTATAACGTCATAATTTAATCCGGTTTGACTCGACAGTTGAATCAGTGACTCGCTTACGCAGTTTCTTTTATAGTTCATTCATTGATCATATTTTCAAAACATTGTTTGAAAGAGCTTTGGAATTGTAATTCCACCTCTTAATTTGCAAGTGGTGTTTGGTTGTAGTTTTCAAAAATTAATTGTACACTCACTTTTGAAAACTTCTTTGCATGCGGGAAAATTTGGCTAGCCCGGTTGTCCCCCCAGACATCCCCCTAGACGTCCGGCCGGTTGACCGGAACAGTGTACTTTTTTTTTTTTTTTGTGCACCTGGTATTTTTACATTTTAAATAAGAAAATATTTTTAGAATTTTTTTTAAATTTTTTATGAGCTTTGAATAGGATTTTGGGTTATGTGTTTGGTTATGAGTTATAAGTTTTTGAATTAAATATCACATGTCACATCATTCATTTCAAACTCAATTCAAAACTCTTTTCAAAACTCATAACCAAACAAATTTTTCACACTTAAATTATAATTCAGAAACTCACAAACTCAAGATATAACTCATAATCTCAAATCATATTTAAAAAATTTTACCAAACGCTACCAAAATTTTTAGTCAAAAACTAAAAAAAATTGCTATATGTTATAAAATTACTCTACATACGTCTTTTAGTAAAATTTTTTAAAAATTATTCTATCTACATCTTTTAGTAAAAAAAATTTAAATTGTTAAAAAAACCAACTTTCTAATTTTCAAACGAGTCATATCCGACTAAAAATGACTTTTGAGTGATTTTTTTTGGGATATTTACCAATAAATCCTATCTCACAAATAATTTTACCGATTGGTCCTAAGGTTATTTCTGTTGTTCTGATTAGTCCTATTAGTGGGGAAATATCTTACCAATTGATCCTATTTCCTTTGTTTAGTAACACTGAGTGGTCAATTATACCCTTCTGTGTGTGTGTCGTGTGACATACATCATTCTAAGGCAAAAAGCATAAAGGGCCTTAGTGTACTTTGTTGATGTGTGGCACCCATTGTGTGTGTCACGTGACATACATCACTCCAAGGCAAAAAACATAAAGAGCCTTAATGTACTTTGTTGATGTGTGACACCCATTGTGTGTGTCACATGACACTCAAAGGCAAAAAGCATAAAGAGCCTTAGTGTACTTTGTTGATGTGTGCACCCATTGTGTGTGTCACGTGACACTCCAAGACAAAAAGCATAAAGAGCCTTAGTGTACTTTGTTGATGTGTGACACCCATTGTGTGTGTCACGTGATATATCGTGTGTCACGTGACACACCCTTATAAAGAGCATGCATCTTATAACATCTAAATGAGGGCATTAAGGTCCCTCAAAATATCCAAGGACTAAACGGTTTATTAGAAAAAAATTGGGAACAATTGGTTCACAAGTTTAACATTTGGGATTTATTGGTAAATCTCCCAATTTTTTGACCTTTTTTTTAAAAAATAAAAAGTAAGATGACTTTTTATAATTATTTTTGAGTATTTTTTTTTTACTTTTTTTTTTAATAAAAAAGAAGTAAGATGACTTTTTATAATTATTTTTTGACATTGGTTGTTTAGGATGATCTAAATAAGTGTACTTTTTGACTTTTTATAAAAGATATATAGAAAAATCGAGAGGTAATGTGATGAAAAAAAGATAAAAATATAGATATTTTGGGGATGTCAAACCATTAAACTGAAATTGTGTCTTTCCAAACAGCCCTTAAACTGGACCGATTTCTCCCAAAGTAAAACCAAGGATAAATTACAAATACATATTTCAGTTTTATTTAAAGGGTAAATTATACTGACACCCCTGAGGTTTATGTTTATTGCAGTTCCCTCCCTTACCTTTTAGAAATTACATCTCCCTCCCTGAGGTTTAAAGTTTCATTACAGATTCTCCCCTCAGTAATTTAATTTTTTAAAATACCAATTTTGCCCTCACTGGGTAAATTACATTGACAACCCTCATATTTTAGAAATTACAATCCTCTCCCTAAGGTTTAAAGTAGTATTGCTAATTGCCTCCTCGGTTAGTATTAGTTGAAAAAAAAATTCATTGAAAAGAAAAATTAATTGAAAAAAAATTTTGTTAGTAAAATTATTAAATTTTTGTTTAAAAACCAACGTAAGCTCATTTTTTGAATTTACGTTGTTTCATTAGATTTACAAACTGAGACAACCATTTATAAAAAATAATTTTTTACAAAAATAAAAAATAATTATCATTTTTATATAATTTTTATTTTTCAAGTGGTTAGAAATAATTTTTACAAATTAAATTGAAACAGCCATACGTATGTATATAACATGCCCAAAAGTTAAAATGATAATTATTTTTTACCCTTAAATGATAATTATTTTTTAGTTTTTATTTCTTAACCAAATTAATTTTTAATTTTTTTTAAAAAATTTTAAAAATCAAACCATACATAGTCTAAGAATCTTTTGATAAGTCATTTTCTTACGTTGGTAACTTATTTAATTAATTGTTAATTTTATGATATTTTTACCATCTGAGGTCTGTTTGGTAACTATTTCGTTTTCAGTTTTCAATTTATATTTACAAAAATTTTAAAAACTATCATAAAAACTTGTTTGATAATTTTTTTGATTTATAAATTGTTGTTTTAGCTTGTAAATTTGAGAAAAAAATGAGTTTACGTTGGTTTTTAAACAAAAATCTAAAAATTTAACTAACAAATTTTTTTTCAGTTAATTTTTTTTTCAAGTAATTTTTTTTTCAAGTAATTTTTTTCCAATTAATTTTTTTTTCAATGAATTTTTTTTCTAACTAATACTAACTGAGGGGCAATTGGTAATGCTACTTTAAATCTTAGGGAGGGGATTGTAATTTCTAAAATGGGAGGGGTGCCAATGTAATTTATCCAGTGAGGGCAAAATTGGTATTTAAAAAAATTAAATTGTTAAGGGGGAAATCTATAATGAAACTTTAAATCCTAGGGAGGGAGATGTAATTTCCAAAAGGTGAGGGGGAACTTAATAAACATAAATCTCAAGGGGTGCTAGTGTAATTTACCCTTATTTAAAATACGGACTGCACTATGGCACGTTTGGGAAGGTGGGTTGGAGGCTTTTTTGGCTATTTTAGCCACAAAAAACAAAATAGGCTATTTTAGCCATAACAAACAAAACATCACATCCAACTCATAATCATTACATTCTTCTCTCACAAAAAAACTCAAAAAAGGCAAAAAGCCAAAAAGCCCTTCCCAAACCAAGCTTTTAAGCTCAGGCTAAAATAGCCAAAAAAGCCAAAAAGCCAACCCACTTCCCAAACGGAGGCTATATAGTTTAGAAAATTATAAATACTTTATTGTCAGAATTTTTTATTTAACAAAATTAATTAAAAAAATAAAATTCATAACTATTATTCTAGGAAAATGGGGGAGCCCCCAGAACCCCCAGTGGGTGTTAGTTGGTCCATGTTGACGTTTAGTTTGATTTAAAAAATAATTATTAATAGAAATGCGATATGATCAAGTAGTAATTGATATTCGATTAACGTAATTTTTTTTATAAAAATAATATATTCGATGAGTTATATACATTAAATAATTTAAATTATTAATATGAGCTTCATAATGGATTCCTGAAGATCCAATAATACGATTCAGGGTCGGGCTATTTTGGGAATTTGGCTAAAAGTCACTTTTTTTGGTTAGTAGCAAAAGTCATAAGTTGGCTTTTTTGGCTTTTTTTTCATTTGGCAAGTTGGTTTTTAGCCAACGGTGCAATTACAATTTTATCCCTCATGGGTCACAATGTGTTACATAGGTTCAGTTGTAAATATTTTAAATAAATGGGGGTAGTTTAGTCATTTTATTATGATTTGACATCATAAACAAATATTAATAAAAAAAGTTAAAAGTCACTTTTTACCAACTTCCCAAATCATTTGTCTAAAAAAGTAAAAAATTTGGTTAAAAGCCAAAAGTCACTTTTTACCTTCTTCCCAAAACAACCCGAAGTGAGTTGGCTTTTTAACTTTTTGGCTTTTATGACTATTTTATCCTGGGCTAAAAAGTTTGGTTTGAGAATGATTTTTTGGCTTTTTAAACTTTTTTTTGTGAGAGAAGAGTGTAATGATTATGAGTTGAATGTGATATTTTATTTTTTGTAATTAAAATAGCCTATTTTATCTTTTATGACTAAAATAGTCAAAAAAATCCAATCTAGCTCTTTCCAAACAGAGCCTCAGCAGGATAACCTTATAATTTATTCATAGGAATCCGCTAGGTCAACTCCCCCTTCCCAAAAAAGGAAGGCAAATTATAAATACACTCTTTAAAATTTGCTTAAAATAAAAATTATTTTTTGTGATTTAAAAAATTACAAATATCTTATTATCATATTTTTTTATTTAGCATAATTAATTAAAAAGTGAATTTCTAACTATTTACCTATATAATAATAAAATTATTTGAAAATTATAAATTGAAATAAAATTTTAAGATTATTAAAAACTGTTAATTAATTAATAAAAAGGTCTATTTATTATGATAATTAATAAAAAGATCTGTTTATTACGAAATTAAAATTTTTTAAAATATAATGTTTAAAATTATAAAAAATTATTTATAATTTAAATAAATTTCAAGAATTGTGTTTATAATTTATCCTAAAATTAAAGATTTTATATAAATAATTTATAATTTAAATAAATTTCAAGAATCGTGTTCGCGTGAGAATTTATTTTCTTTAAAAAAAAAAAAAAGATTCTGAAAGAAAAAAAATTAGATATTTGACTATTGATGAGTCTTATCCACGAGCCCTCTTTTTCTGTTCGATATTTGTTTGCTTGTCTTTCTTCTTCACGTCTCTCTGAATCCTATCATCATCACAACTGTACTCTCATACACAAATAGTTTTAGAGGGAGAAAAAAACTAAGAGAGAGAGAGAGAGGAGAGAGAGAGCGCTCTGCCCCAGGAAAAAGAAAAATTCAGATAAGGACATGTTATAACAGTTGTGATTCACCAATGGCGTGTTCTGTGCATTTCTCAGAGTCATAAATTTCTGCCACCGATCATTCAATTCAAAACCCACTTTCAAATTTACATAATTGATTCGAAAACCCAGCTGTTTTTTTGTCTTATTCTGGTTGAACCCATTTTGTGGTAGAGCTTCTTGTTCAAAACTAGGGTTTGGGTTTTGCAATGGCATTGATTTGAGCTCTGTTTTGAGGGTTTTGTGTTGGGTTTGAGGACGCTTGGTGTATAAGGTTTGAAAAAAAAAAAAGAAAAAAAAAAAGGGTTGGTGAGGGTGGACCTGTTCAGTCTCTCTCTCTCTCTTCTTTGTCTTCAAAATGAAGCATTTTTTTTTTCTCTTTCTAGGGTTTGGTAAGATGTAACATTAGTTTATATTTCTTGCTTTGTCCTTAAAGCTCTAAGCTCCTCTGAATTCAAACCCTTTCGCTGGTTTTCTTTATTTTTTTATTTATCCTTTGTCTGAACTTTTGATCTCTTTGTATTCATGTCTTAAATCATTGGTCAGTTTATTATAAGCATTGACTATTTTAAAGATTTTATTATATTTTATATGTTATATTTTAGTATTTTATTTGTAGATTGAATGATGCGTCACTTTGTACTATGAACATGTGCTTTGGGATTTTGTTGTTTATCTTTTGCTCGAAATGTGAACTCTTCTGAAGCCCCAAAAAAATCCTTACTGTCTTCTTTTTGTTTATTGTATTTTTTTTTTCATTTTAAATTTAGTTTTAAAATTCAAGAACATTGTGAAAACACTGTTTGGTATTCAAAAATTGGGTTCTGTTTTATCTCATTTGAACTTCAAGTGCTTTTGATGGGTTGAATTTTCAGAAAGTTAAGATCATAGAGTGGATCTCCTAATTTTAATAAAAAGACTGGTAAATTAGTTGAAATTGAGTTTTGGGTGAAAGTTGGTTTCCAGTAATTTTCTCCAGAGTAAATGTATGGATCGAAGGGAAGCTATGGCACTGTCAGGGTCTGCTTCTTACTATATGCAGAGAGGGATGTCCGGTTCTGGGTCTGGGTCTGGGGTACAAGGATTACCAGGTCTTCGATCAATTACTAATCCAAATGTTTCGTTTCAACCAAATGTTGGGGGCAATTCTATTGGATCAACGGCACCAATAGAGCCTTCATTGGCAATTTCACCTCACGGAGGTAATGCGGGTGCACCATCTGCTGTGCAGCCCGGTGAACCTGTAAGAAGAAAAAGGGGAAGGCCTCGAAAATATGGGCCCGATGGGAACGTGTCATTGGCATTGTCTCCCACTTCATCTACTCCTCCGGCCATGACTCCAAGGTCCCCAACCCAGAAGCGGGGTAGGGGACGGCCACCGGGGACCGGGCGAAAGCAACAATTAGCTTCTCTTGGTAAACATTTTATTGTGGCTATATCCCTTTGTGTGATATTTAGATTAACCATCATGAACTATGCAGTACATTTTCTGTTTATTTAGGAGAAGTTCTTTTCATCTTTTCTAAATTCTAACACTTGCGTGAATTCGCAGTTTACAATCTATTGCTCCTTGTGATCATGTTTTAAGTACCAGCCTCGAATGCTTCTAGTGTGTTTTAGCATGATTTAGTATTGATAATTGGATACTAGATGTGTTCTAACATGGAAAAGTTAGTGTGAAAATAAAATAACCAATAAAATATTACATGTAGGAACAAGTGCTCATTGGAACCACCAAGGATCCTCTAGAGTGAAATTTTTCTAAAGTTTTTTAGAGTGCTACATTGTGTGGTTGAGATTTACTGGCAAGTCACATCAATTTTTCTGATGTGATTTGCCAGTAAATCTCAACCACACAATGTAGCACTCTAGGAAACTTTAGGAAAAAATCACTCTAGAGAATCCTTGCTACATTGGAACAATGGGATTGCTTAAAATGTGTACTACCTGGCCCACTTGTACAAGATAAATGAGTTGATGCAATATTACATGTGCTGACACTTTGATCAGTATGTTTTGTATTAAATATTATTCTAAAAGTGCCCATCACTACTAAATATCCTCATTTCCTGCATTATAAGTTTGTTTGGCAGAGTTAACCACGCTGTTATTTTATGTAACAACTTCTATGTTCATCATTATTTAAGGGAAAAAAAAGGTTTCAGGATCAATATTAAAAAAGAGATGCAATTGTTGAACTTTGTATTTCACTTTTTGCTCTGATAGCTAGAACGTTTTGTCCATTTAAAGCGTTGTGCATTAAATTTCTGATTATTGTTACCTGAAAATGATAGTACCATACGAATTACATTTTAGAACGCATGTTGCGAAACATGGCATAGTGGCATACTTCCAAAAGAGTTAATTTAGTGATCCTAAAAGTTTTTCCAATATATTTCTTGAAGGTTCCCTCAGGAGTAAAAGAATCAAATATGATGAACTAAAATATAAGGCGAGTGAAGTTTTGCCAAGGAAAAATGTCAAAAATCGGTTATAATGGCCATAAAAATGTGTTGCTATAGATGATTAGTTTGGGCCAAAAAAGACCCACATTTTATTGATGGTCTAATTGTTGAAATAAAATTACATTAGAAATACCTTAAATTTTTGTAGTATAATCTTTACAAGTCTACTCCTATTATATTAAATTTTAGAGCATTTAGCGTACTATGTTCCCGTTCCATGTACTGGAACAATACACGTTCGACATAACATAGTTCCTGACCATAATACCCAAGTCGAAGTTTTGTACAAATGTTGAGAGCAATTTGAGGCATAGAATTGGGCAGGCCGAGATATAAACCAGTCTATGTATGGTTGATATTGGTAGACACATTTGAACATGCCCACAGCAGTAAATGGTATAAACACTGAATGACAGTTCCCATGTAGGCAAGAGATGTGTATATATTATGAATGGTGGGAAGAGTTGCGACTCTTAATGATTGGTCATATCGGTGGGTGTGTATTTGGTGACCCTTGGTGTATTATAAATTCAGTCATGGTTTATAATTTTAAACCAAATAAAAGCATCCAATTTTCATGTGTTCGGAATGTGTTTGTGTCCCAAATGCATCGGACACAGATACTTGAGCCCGGGAAAGTGTTTGTGCTTCATAGAAAGAAACTCTCTCTTTGTGCACATACACAATTTCAGATATCTTCTTGTCTTTCCCATCTCTTGGCTCTTGCTTATGTGTGATAAAAAATCTCATATGTTATTTACAGTTCAATTGCATTATTCTATTATGTTTTTGTAAGAATAGATGTATTATTGAATAATGTATGTTATATTTTACAAATGGTGGGGGGCTCCTTATATAGGAGATGTAGTGGAGTAGGTGGTAGTGGTAAGTGTGTAGTAGGTGGTGGTAGGTGTAGTAGGTGGAGTAGGTGATGGTAGGTGTTAACAGCCCCCCGCAAACTCAGGGGGGGTAGGAACTAACCAACTTGAGTTTGGAAAGAGTAACAAAACGAGAAAATAATCTGAAAAATAAAAAATGGATAGGAGACACTGTATGGTTGTGTCAGACCGTTGTAGAAGACTGTATGGTTATGGCAGACCGATGTAGAAGACAGTTTATGGGGTCATGTCGGACCGTTGTAGCAGACAATGTTGTGACAGTTGTTGTGACAGTTTACGGAGTCTTGCTGGACCCTTGTAGAAACTAACCGGAATCAATGTCGGGACAGCTTACAGAGTCTTGTCGGACCCATGAAGGAGCTAACCGGAATCAATGTCGGGACAGCTTACAGAGTCTTGTCGGACCCATGAAGGAACTAACCGGAATCAATGTCGGGACAGCTTACAGAGTCTTGTCGGACCCATGAAAAAAGGCGTGCCATCAAAAGGAGCGCCCATGTTGTCGTCGAGCGCCGAGCGACGCATGATGCGCGTGTCTGCCTTGGCTATTTAACCAAGGTTGAGGCGAAGGCTGTGCAAACCAGTTTGAAACCGCCGAACATTAGCATTCTGAAATACTCTGTAAACACTCTGTAACCAATCCTTCTCTGAAAGTACCAGTCGGAAATCGCTGCTTCGCTGAAACACTCAGCAACCCAAAAACATGGCCTCTTCTTCCCGTCCAGCTACCCAGAACATGGCCTCCTCTTCCCGTGGTCTGCTCACGCTCTTTCCAGACCTGAACGAGTCCACAAGAGAAATAACTGGTGCGGTGGCCAGTGAACCTTAACCAAGTGCCTCTGGTTTTGCTCCGTTGAACTTTTCGATGCGGTCGGTGGAGCAAAAAATGGCGGTGCAAACTGATATTGAGGCCAATCAGTATACTTTGCTTTGAAGTCATGTGTGGAGACCATGACGGCGGTCACAAACCTGTCGCACCGGCTGCAGAGTAGGACAAATGAGGTGCAGCAGTTAAACTCCCAGCTGGCTCTGCTCCAACGCATGTATAAGGATGCGCGAGCAGAGATAAGTGTGCTAAAGGCAGAAAACAAGGAGCTGAAGCGGAAGGCCATTGTGCTTGTCGGTTCGATCTGTTGATGATGAGATCGAAGAAGAGTTCTTCCTCTTTCGATCGGACCCTATTTTTACAGACTAAAGAGAGACTGGGATGGGACGAGAACAGAGGAAGCTTCAAGGAAGAAAATTGGTGGTGATGGGTTGACTGGGTGAGTCAAGGACAGCGACTCGAAGGAGTTGGGCGTGAAGGTGGTGGACTCGAAGAAATTTCAAGGTATGTGTAGAAAATTCTAGCGGACTAGGTTGAGGTCTGGCGGACGGCTAAGGTGACGTTGCCGTCCGCCGGTGAAGCGAAAATACTAGGTTCTAAACTTGCTCTGATACCATGTAAGAATAGATGTATTATTGAATAATGTATGTTATATTTTACAAATGGTGAGGGGCTCCTTATATAGGAGATGTAGTGGAGTAGGTGGTGGTGGTAGGTGTAGTAGGTGGAGTAGGTTTTGGTAAGTTTTAACAGCTTTGTTATTTGGAATGGGGTTTCAACCAAATGTTGGGGGCAATTCTATTGGATCAACGGCACCAATAGAGCCTTCATTGGCAATTTCACCTCATGGAGGTAATGCGGTTGCACCATCTGCTGTGCAGCCCGGTGAGCCTGTAAGAAGAAAAAGGGGAAGGCCTCGAAAATATGGGCCCGATGGGAACGTGTCATTGGCATTGTCTCCCACTTCATCTACTCCTCCGGCCATGACTCCAAGGTCCCCAACCCAGAAGCGGGGTAGGGGACGGCCACCGGGGACCGGGCGAAAGCAACAATTAGCTTCTCTTGGTAAACATATTATTGTGGCTTTATCCCTTTGTGTGATATTTAGATTAACCAGCATGAACTATGCAGTACATTGTCTGTTTATTTAGGAGAAGTTCTTTTCATCTTTTCTAAATTCTAACACTTGAGTGAATTCGCAGTTTACAATCTATTGCTCCTTGTGATCATGTTGTTAAGCACCAGCCTTGAATGCTTCTAGTGTGTTTTAGCATGATTTAGTATTGATAATTGGATACTAGATGTGTTCTAACATGGAAAAGTTAGTGTGAAAGTAAAATAACCAATAAAATATTACATGTAGGAACAAGTGCTTATTGGAACAATGGAATTGGTTAAAATGTGTACCACCTGGCCCACTTGTACAAGATAAATGAGTTGATGCAATATTACATGTGCTGACACTTTGATCAGTATGTTTTGTATTAAATATTATTCTAAAAGTGCCCATCATCACTACTAGAAAAACAAAATATCCTCATTTCCTGCATTATAAGTTTGTTTGGCAGAGTTAACCGCGCTGTTATTTTATGTAGCAACTTTTATGTTCATCATTATTTAAGGGAAAAAAAAAGGTTTCAGGATCAATATTAAAAAAAAGATGCAATTGTTGAACTTTGTATTTCACTTTTTGTTCTGATAGCTTGGACGTTTTGTCCATTTAAAGGGTTGTGCATAAAATTTCTGATTAGTGTTATCAGAAAATGCTAGTACTTAGCGAGTTACATTTTAGAACGCATGTTGCGAAACATGGCATAGTGGCATACCTTGATTCCAAAAGAGTTAATTTAGTGATCCTAAAAGTTTTTCCAATATATTTCTTGAAGGTTCCCTCAGGAGTAAAATAATCAAATATAATGAACTAAAATCTAAGGTGAGTGAAGTTTTGCCAAGGAAAAATGTCAAAAATGGGTTATAATGGCCATAAAAATGTGTTGCTATAGATGTTTAGTTTGGGCCAAAAAAGACCCACATTTTATTGATGGTCTAATTGTTGAAATAAAATTACATTAGAAATACCTTAAATTCTTGTAGTATAATCTTTACAAGTCTACTCCTATTATACTAAATTTTAGAGCATGTAGTGTACTATGTTCCTGTTCCACGTACTGGAACAATACACATTCTACATAACATAGTTCCTGACCATAATACCCAAGTCTAAGTTTTGTACAAATGTTGAGAGCAATTTGAGGCATAGAATTGGGCAGGCCGAGATATAATCCAGTCTATGTATGGTTGATATTGGTAGACACATTTGAACATGCCCACTGCAGTAAATGGTATAAACACTGAATGACAGTTCCCATGTAGGCAAGAGATGTGTATATATTATGAATGGTGGGAAGAGTTGCGACTCTTCATGATTGGTCATATCGGTGGGTGTGTATCTGGTGACCCTTGGTGTATTATAAATTCAGTCATGGTTTATAATTTTAAACCAAGTAAAAGCATCCAATTTTCATGTGTTCGGAATGTGTTTGTGTCCCAAATGCATCGGACACGGATACTTGAGCCCGGGAAAGTGTTTGTGCTTCATAGACAGAAAAACTCTCTTTGTGCACATACACAATTTCAGATGTCCTCTTTTCTTTCCCATCTCTTGGCTCTTTCTTATGTGTGATAAAAAATCTCATATGTTATTTACAGTTCAATTGCATTATTCTATTATGTTTTGTTATTTGGAATGGGGTTAATTTTTCGGAATGTTTTGACTCAAGCCCAGAACTGGTTTTTGAATCAGTTGACCATAGTTCTTTTGAAATTTGGATAACATCTCTTGTCAATCTTCTCTAGATTTGTTGTCTTATTGTTTGATAAACTGGGGTTAGAAAGAATTGTCAGCTGAACTAGTTGCTCGTATCATCTACATTTTTTTTATGGTTTTGTTTAATTTCCCCTGAACTTGTTTACCGTACTGATGCATTGCTTTTGCTAAAGCACACTTCCGTGCTGGCCTATAATTTTGTTTGTTTCTTTGCAACCCCAAGCACTTTGAATGAGTAGTTTATGTGCAGTTATTTTCTTTAAACTTATCAGAAAATGCGGTTTTTTTTTATTTATATGTAGTTGATCTTTGTGCTTTGTAAATGATGTTGCATATGGTTTATTGTTTTTGTTAGGTGGATGGCTGTCTGGTTCGGCTGGGATGGGCTTTACTCCACATGTCATCACCATTTCCGTAGGAGAAGTATGTCATACCCTCTATCAATCTGTATTAGACCATTAGTACTTCATAAAGAAATAAACATTTTATCAGTTAGTTGAGTTGATGCCGGAAATAATGTCTAGGGTGCAAGGGTGCACTCTATCAGTTAGTTGAGTTGATGCCTGACATAATGTCTAGGGTCAGAAAAGATGAAATTCATCGCTGATTATTTTTTCCTTACATGAACATGTAAACATTTTCCAGGAAAGGGTTGAGTAAATCTGCTTGAACAGGCACAGATGCTAGTGAGTATATTTTTTGAAGAGAGGAGTTGATTTTATAACTTTAAAGCGAAATAAAAAATAGATATTGATGGAAGGGAGATTGGAAATGGAAGAAAAGGGTAAGGAATTCCTGGGATGGATTTTGTTTGTCTATGAACCTAAAAGCCGTGTTCAGTAGGATAAGTCATCTTAGGATAAGTAAAGATGAGTAAAGATGAAAAACATAAAGACAAATGATAATTGTACTAGACAAAGGGAAAGGTGTGGCTTGACCTTGCTTGATGTGGTCCTTGAATGCTTGAAAATCTGGATGAAGCTTGACTCTTTGAATTGCTGGCCTGGAACTTTCTCATATTTTCTAAGTCTTTGCATTGAGGAGCATTTTTGATCATGATTGAATTAGTCATTTCTTCTGTTTTAGGTTAACTGTCCTGGTGTTTCTCATTGAATTAATTTATGGGATTGTTTTTCTTAGAGTTGTAATATCTCCTTTGACGATTCTTGAAATTTCTTGAAATTGTTTATCTTTTCTTGCAGGACATCACAACAAAAATAATGTCATTTTCACAGCAGGGCCCAAGAGCTATATGTATTTTGTCAGCCAACGGTTCTGTCTCCACCGTGACTCTCCGTCAACCCTCAACATCCGGTGGCTCAGTTACATATGAGGTTTAAGGACGTAATATTGTCATTTTTTATTTATTTTTGCTGAAGGACATTGATTATTTGCTAATCTTTGAGAGAGTGTGTCTGTCTACACACATGAATATGTGTTTAATGGAGGATGGGTATGTATTATCATATTCCAAAGTAATACAATTTTGAGAATGATGGTTCAGGCTTTAGGTGTAGTTGAAAACTATTGACAGAGGATAAATGTCTGTGTTTTGGTTGTAGCATGTACATATATATATTCTTGTTATGTTATGTTTTTGAGGTTAACATTGATTTGCATCCATAAAATTCAATAAAATAAACATTAATCTGTTATATTTTTGGCAATCACAATACTCATCCTTCCAATGCTTTATTTTGTCATATGCTATTTTCTGATTACTTTTATGGTGGTTTCAAAAGAAAAGAAAAGGCTTCGTTCTGTTTCCTGTTACTTTTTTTAGGTTATTTATTGCATATATTTGGGTTGATTGTGTATTTATGTGTAAATGACTAGGGATCCATGGATCTAGTTTCTACTTCAGATAAAAAAATATACCTACTTTTCCTTGTATTGGCTATTTGAATATGTATTTGTGATTCTTTGTCTCCAATTTCATTTAATGTGCGTATCTCTTTGGGTGCTTGCATGTTTCTGTTTAAATGTTTTGCTTTTTACAGGATCCCTAGTAAAGAAATGAAGATAATTGTACAATTAGCTTTCCTGTTGTGTTTCTTTGCTCCTTAAGCTTGCTTGAAAGAGTTTGGTTGCACCTTCTTGTTGGTTGATTATGCTTTTATAAATTGTGAAAGAACTGAAAATATTTGGATCCCTAAATTTCATGTAAACTTTCTAGTTTTCGATGCTGTCCTGGCTTTCCCTTACCTGTCTCAGTAGAACTCAAATGTCGAAAAATCGATCTGGCAATATTTTCTGTGATATGCTTGATTAGATTTTGTTATGGAAAATAATTGACATTCCAAAATTAGCCGAAAGTTACTCATGTTGTAATGCTATTGGATATGAGCAATGTTAGGGACTCCAAATGAATTACCAAATATTCTACCAAATACTTACATGGGTGTGGGAGCCAACCCATGTAAGTATTTGGTAATTTTTTTGGGGTCTTTAGCATTTTTTATTGGATATTGATAAAGTGGGCCCTATCCGAGTAATACTGTTTTATGAAGAATGTCATTCCCTCTGTCCATAGATTTTCAACATTGCATTGGTTGGTATTCCTCTTTCTTGTGTTATCTTGTATTTTAATTTTTATTTGCTAATGTTGGATATAATTCTTTGTAATTGTTTTACTTTTAACATGAGTCTTGACATATCGGCCTTTTTTCTTGTGAAAAATTTTCTTTTGCATTTTTGTCACTGAGAAGCAAATCTTTGTTGCTGCAATTTGTGCAGGGGCGTTTTGAGATACTGTGTCTTTCAGGCTCTTACCTGCTCACTGATAATGGTGGTCCCCGTGGTCGAACTGGTGGTTTGAGTGTTTTGCTTGCTAGCCCTGACGGTCGTGTCATTGGTGGTGGAGTTGGGGGAGCGCTTACTGCAGCCAGCCCAGTTCAGGTAACTTTTTTGTTCGTTTAAAACTCTCCATTACTTTATGTTCTCCTCATTCACAGTTCTCCTCTTGCCATTTCACGTTAATAATATCTAGATTTTCTACTGTTTCTCTACAAATATATTGTTATGATCACCTTTAATCCAGAAACGAGGTTATCTAGGGCAAGATATACAATAAACATGGTTACCGAGGATTAGCTGTTAAATTATTTCTGCAAGATTTGTCCCTTGTCTACCTCTATTTACCAGCTCCTACATTTTAAGCTTCAGTATCATTTTAGCAGCTTAAACACTTTATAATCTATGCAAATATATAATAGCTGAACTGTAGAAACAAATTCATCTATGTGAATTTAGTTGTTTATACCATGGGTTTTGGCAGTCAAACCTTGGTAGCAAGAAAATCCTATTTGGGTGACATTTCTTACTTAGAAATGTGATTCTGCCCTCCCAAATAAGAAACTTGTGAGAAAGTTGCTCCCGTCAAGGAAGAAACTGGTTACCAACTAAGATAATGTCTCAAACATATAAATCTGACGAAAACAAAAGAAAAAATGCTCAAACTAATTCTTTCGTGAAACTGGGCAAATGTAATGAATTTCATCTTCCCTTCTTACATAAGTGTATATACTTAATTCAGATATAGAAAATATAGAGTTTTGTATCTTTCTATATCTCCCATGAATCTTGTTTGACTAAGAATCCCTATTGAATGAGATTCTAACAAAAAAAATTGTTAGAATATGTTTATATATTTAATAAATGAAATAAACATATACATGTTCCCATATGCGCTCTCAACCTTATGAACTTTTATATGCCTTCACTCTCCTGCCCCAGCTCCTGCTCCTGATTCCGCTTCTGATTAAGCTCTCTTTACTGCCCTATGGGTTTCTAGCTACTGGGCTAATCCTCCCTGTGCTCATACTTTTGTACCATTAGCAATTGATAAAACTAAAACATGATTTTATGGACTAAACTGGCTGATGTGTGATTCCAGGTAATTGTTGGAAGCTTCTTGTGGGGTAGTCAAAAGACGAAGAACAAGGCTGGGGGAGGTCGTGAAGGTGCTGGAGATTTAGACGGTCCGACATCAGATAATCCAGTTGTTCCAACTACTGTTCCTTCAGGTCAGAATCTTACTCCAGCCTCTTCAGTCAGTGTTTGGCCAGGTTCACGACCAATGGATATGCAAAATGCACATTTTGACATTGATTTGATGCGTGAGTGACTGTTTTATTAGTAGATAGTTGAGCAATGTGTATATTTGCTGTTTAGTCAGTTGAATCTAATTCCTTAAGACCCACGCAAAAAAAACAACCCTGATGGTTTTGGGCTTGAGGAGGGATCTCACTTCATATCCCACTGTAGACGGTTGGGTTGTACTACTATCTATTTAGTTTAATGGAAATTTAGTTGGAGTTCACTGCTAAGCTATTCTATTGAGTTTATATTCTATGGAGGTATAGTTTGTCTTAATGTGGAATTTGTTAAAAAAACCCGAGCTGATATGGGATGCATTAGTGAAAAAAATACGAATTTATTTAATTTAATTAAACATATATACTTTGATAGAGCATAATAGCGAATAAGGATTCATATAGCCAACCCCACTTGATTAGGACATAATGCTTAGTATGGTTTGGTTGGTAAAAGAGAAATCAGAGCATCCATGGCTTTGATTTAATCAAAATGCGGTCTCTTTAGGAGGGATAAACTATTTTTGTTTCATTGATATTCAAAATCGATATATAAAAGTAAACCCTAAAAATTTAGTTTAAGTACCACACTCTGCATCTACTAGTTTTAGCTCAAAAAACATGCAGGTCTAGAAATCTACACTTCACCCCCAACTAAGAAGCATGGACACATATACATACACGGGTATGGACAAGTATACAACAATTTTGAAAAATTTAGGATATGGACACAACAAAAAGTATATATATATTTTTATTTGCTATGCATATGAATATAAATTTAGGGCATCGAGATATTAGAGATATGAATGCACATGTTATGTAATTTTTTTCACTTTTCTTTGCTCTTTGTTTTTATATATTTTACTTTGACCTCAAATTAGCTTTCTAAAATTATAACAAAAATCCATAAAGGTGTCATGAGCTAAGTCACCGGTTCACGATGTGGGAGTGGGAGCCAGAGCGGGCTTTTTTGAAATATCTTGAGAGCCCGCGTGCCCAAAGTTTGTATACATATATTTCAACAGATTGTTGAACACCAAAAAAATTCAATTTGTATAATCCCACATGAATGGGAGGTAGCAACTAGGCATCAACAGGGGCTTCACACCCGTTTGTTACTCTATCCCACATCGCCTGGGATATAGGAGTATTGAGGGCCTTTTGCCCACACACACACACCACCACTACCACTACCACGCTAGCATACTGCTTGAGTGGGTCAAGCTTTTACATGGCCAAGTTTGTGTCACTTTAGCACAAATGTTAAATTCTATTAAATGCATTTAGTGCCAAAAGCTTGTGTGTATCTTCTTTTCATGAAGTACAGACTTTTTGCACAGTTTAAAAGGAGATTTGCATAAGATTTGCCGATTGGACCCATTCAACTCGCGGATTTGACCTGAATTTGTGCAAAATCTGCCAATCCATGCGTTGGAGCGCAGTTCAGCCACCTAGTTGGATGAATTAGGTGACCTAGTATTTGTGAAGTTCATCCAATGTGTCCTATAGAAACATAATAATTAAAAAAATTTGACATGCCATGTGGCGTGTCATACATGTGGACGTGTTTGCACGATGTGTCAGTGTTCGATACGTGTTGGACATGGATATGGACATGGCACTTGTTTTGAAGTGTTCACACTTCCTGAACCCCCACGTATTCAGGGTTAAGTGTGAAAACACAGTAGTGAAACTGAAAACACACTGATGTGATGGCTATAGCAAAATGAAGAAATACCATTTATTTGTATCTCCTCATTATCTTTCTTGTACTCTCTCTCTCTCTCTCAAAAAACTATGACAGACCCACCACCACCTTGATGAAAATACGGACTCATCTTCCACCATCTCTCTTCCCCTCTTCATTTTCCACTGTCATTAACCTCTCACATCCATGACTCTCCATCTTCTTCATTGCCACGACTATTTTAACAGTCTCTGTTCTTCACCATAGAACCAACACTTTCTCAGCCACATCTCCACCATTGTTGCAGTTCACCTTGACCTTAAGATTTCAATTTTTTGCTCTCTTCCTCTCCATCACCACCGACAACCACACACCAGCAGAAGACCCATCACCGCCCCCCCCCCCCAAAAGGGTTCCCCACAGCAATTGACCTCTCTTCTCTCTTTCCTCTTTCTTTCATTCCAAAACCACAGCCACACAGTTCAGCCACCATCACCTTCACCCTTTTTCCTCACCTTCAGTCACCACTCCCTCAGCCATAAACCCACTTCTTCATCATTTATTTGCGGACCCACCAAATCCATTTATCTTTCTATTTCTTTCTCACACCTCTAATTCTTCTAGCATGATAATAAGAGCTCATTGTTCATACTATGTTAGAGAAACAAGAAATATTCTAATAAATGTAGCATCAAATAAAGTTCACCTAGATTTGGAATTCATTCAAGTATGAATCGAGGGCAAAAAAAGGTAGGATCAAAAGGTTGAGTACAAAATATTCTGGCAGATATATCATATAGAAAGTACATAGCTTTTGGATTTCATCCATTCATGAAGTGAGAAATGTAACAACAGGATCAAGGGACACACAAACTTTTAATTGAACAGAAGTAGCTAAAAAATCTTAAGCATCAGACCAAGTAATATCCAACTCGCACCAATTATCATGAGGCACACCTAGGGCTTCCCACACGGCTTTTGTGGCATCGACGATATTGTTAGGGCACGGGGGTTGATAGTCATGGTCACCATCACATCCCATGGTGGAGTCACGCTCATCAACCACCATAGCCTTAACATTCCGCCCATTAGCACTTATGGTGATGTAGTTGTGGCATCTGCTCCCTCTATTGTACCACCCAGTTGATAGTGCCACAAACCGGTTTGTCATCAGGGTGGTACTTCTTGTCACATTCTGATGGGTCACCACCATCTCCACCCTTTTGGAAGCTGTTGAGAGTAAGAACGACCTTAGTATGACTAGAAACTGGTGGCGAACAACTGAATATTGGTTAGAGTTTTCCTTTCACACAGCAAACAGAGTCATCCTCTGTGTTGCATTGTCCAGAAGGTGGTTTTCTCCCCCTAACGCTGCCACTAGGTTTGCAAACTTGAGCCTCAATTTCTAGACAATGTGCTATAAGGAAAACAAACAATATAAGAAGAGATGCTTCCAATTTGAAGGTGTTCGTACTCTCTTTTTTCCCCCTCTCTCTAGACAATGCGTTGTAGTGCTTGATATGAAGTAGCCCGGTCCCGGTCCCGCTTCGTGCAACTAAGGTAAGAACGGCCTTAGTATGACTAGAAACTGGTGGCGAACAACTGAATATTGGGTAGAGTTTTCCTTTCACTCAGCAAACAGAGTCATCTTCTGTGTTGCATTGTCCAGAAGGTGTTTTTCTCCCCCTAACGCTGCCACTAGGTTTGCAAACTTGAGCCTCAATTTCTAGACAATGTGCTATAAGGAAAACAAACAATATAAGAAGAGATGCTTCCAATTTGAAGGTGTTCGTACTCTCTTTTTTCCCCCTCTCTCTAGACAATGTGTTGTAGTGCTTGATATGAAGTAGATTGCAAGTTTCAGCTATGTATAAGATCTGACGGTGGAAGAAGACAATGGAGATTTCAAAAACTTGAAGTTACCTTACTTTTTCTACAGGCCAAGATAGCAGCTATCGCCTGTTTAGTCAGACAATAATTAAAAACTCCCTAGATTATCAAGTGCATTATGGTGTTTATAGGGAAAACAAATTTGATCACCCATTTGATACGTGGGTGAACATTACATTCCTTTTCGGTCACCGGGGTCCGCTGCTTTGAGTAGGGTTGGATCCTAGTGTAGAACCAATGAAAAATGAAGGTAATGCAAGTGGGTGAACAAAATTAGACTTGTTATATATAGTTTTGTTCATAAGTGGGTTGAGAAATGTGATTGTCAGAGATGAAATGATGATAGTAAGATGAGAATGTTCTAAACTTCTTTTTTAATTTTCATCCTATCACAACATTATTGCCATTACCATTAAGTCACTTGGTAGTTAAATAAGGTTTTTGCTTAAAGGTTAGCTAGTATTCTACAAATGACAAGCTTAACAAACTAGACATACACAGCCAAAGCTGCAGTCTCAGTGTGGGACTCATTGGTCATTACAGTTGGCAAATTTAAGATTCAGTCCTTCAAATTTAATTTGTGGCGTCCACTTTTATTGTTATTTATTTTTTATTTTTATTTTTTTACATACAACTTTTGGTTTTAAACCAAAAGACATTTAAATATATTATTTTAATGCATCAATTACTGAAGAATATGCCTTCTGTGAAAAAAAGTTATCTAGATATTCCTACAATTCATGTTGAAATCATAGCATCTACACTTCCACTCTTTCTCCTTAAATATATTACATTTTTATGTTGTTGAGTTTCTTTGGACAATCAAGGCATGATTGGTACCCTAGCTGTGGGCAATGCCACATTGAAGCTTGTGGGGTCATTTGACCCCATTAATAAGTTGGAATAATCCTACAAGATATATGTAATACAATTTTCAAGTTTTGAGTGAGACTACTTAGGTGATCCGAAATATATATAAAGATGATCTTGGGGTCAATCTTGTCTTTGTATTTATCATTTTGGGGCCAATCTAGTTAGCAAACAAAAAATATGACTTTATTTATATATTGAAGCTTGTGGGGTCATTTGACCCCATTAATAAGTTGGAATAATCCTTAGTTTTTGAATTCACACAACCATGAATTGAGAACAAAAGATATTCTAGCAAATATATTATATTAAAAGTACATAGTTTTTTTGATTTCATACCATCATAAATTTAGAAATCTAACAACAGGATGAAGGGACACACAAACTTTAAACTAAACATTTGTAGTTGAAAAAACTTAAGCATCAGACCAAGTAATATCCAGCTCGCCCCAATTATCATGAGGCACGCCTAAGGCTTCCCACACTGCTTTTGAGGCATCGACAATGTTATTAGGACATGGGGGCTGATAGTCATGGTCTCCATCACATCCCGTGGTGGAGTCACACTCATCAACCACCATAGCTTTCACGCTCCGCCCATTAGCACTTATGGTGATGTAATCGTGGCACCTGCTTCCTCTGTTGTACCATCCAGTTGATAGTGCGACAACTGGTGTGTCATCAGGGTGGTACTTGTTGTCACATTCAGATGGGCCACCACCATCTCCACCCTCTTGGAAGCTGTTGAGAGTAAGGACCGCCTTAGTTTGACTAGAAACTATTGGCGAACATCTGTATATTGGGTAGAGTTTGCCTTGTGCACAACAGTCGGAGTCATTCTCTGTGTTGCATTGTCCAGGAGGAGGTTTTCTCCCCCTAATGTTGCCACTAGGTTTGCAAACCTGAGCCTCAGTTTCTAGACATTGTGCTACTAGAAGAGTGAGCAATATAAGAAGAGATGCTCCCAATTTCAAGGTCTTCATTTTCTCTCTCTGTGTGTAGACAATGTGTTTTAGTGCTTGATATGAATCATCAGATTGCAAGTTTCAGCTATATATAAGATCTCCTGTTGGGAAAAAACAATGAAGAGTTCAAAATTTTGAAGTTACCTACTGTCTATACAGGCCAAGATAGCAGCTCTAGCCTGTTTAGTTAACTAAATCACTAAAAGCTCGATTATTAGTTATCGGTTGCACTGTAGAGTTTGATATGTAATACTGATATATAGGTCCATATGTTGATGGATCGGGAATAGTGTTTTTCAAATATAAAATTTTGACAGTAATATGTTAAATCTTTTAAATGTTTTGTTTAATGGTCATCCTATCACATCGCTATTGCCATTGCCATTACATCACTTGCATGGTTGAATAAGGTTAGTTTTTGTTTTTGCTTTTGTTTCTGTTTTTTGGTTTTTTCCCCCTGCTCTGCTGTAACGTCTCTTATTTTACAAGGATGAGATTAAACAAAGATGGTGTTTGGGAAGTGAGTTTTTATGTAGATTTTAGTAGATGTAGGTTTTTATGAGATAAAAAATTTTTGGTGTTTGGGAAGATAGTTGGGTTTTTATGTGGTTGGATGTGATGTTTGTGAGAGAAAAAGTGAAATGATTATGGGGTTAGATGTGATATTTTGTTTGGATGTGTTTTTTTTGGTTTTGCAAAACTTTTGTCTTTTAGTGGAAAAAATGAGAAAAAAATTTGGGAACTTGCTTCCCAAACACCACCAAAGTAGACCATAGACATACACAACCAAAGCTGCAGTCTCAATTGGTTGCAAGTTATTTTTTTTGAAGCAAAATAAATGAAGGGTGTGTGGGTTTTAGTTATTTCTGTTATTTATGTATGAAAGGATCCTTGTTGGTTATTTAGGTTTCGTTTTGCTGTGACTTGAAAGCTACCTTAGCTAGACAACCCATTTGTTACGATAACCGTGGCTCATTTGGTAAACCAATTTTCCATAAAAAAATCTCAATTTAGCAACTCTAAAAAGATTTAAAAAAGTTAATTTATTTTAAAAAAATATGGAATCAAATAAGCTAATTTTGTAATTAATTCTGAACAAGTCTTATGATTCCATGTTCATGACTATTTGCTTAAACCATGCCAAAATATAATGAAAGGGAATCCTTTTTCTCAGGTTTAGTCCAGTTGACTGGGAGAGGGCCAAAGAGTCCTACAACATTGGGGCTCAATGTGGGACCCACCGGTCATTATTGTTGGAAATTTTAAGATTCAATCTTTCAAATTTTTTCTTTTGGTAGGGCCATTTTTGTTTTGTTATTTATTTGATTTTATTTCAAATTTTGGTTTAAATCGAAATGAAATGTTGTTTATTTATTTATTATTATTTTTTATATATTTTAAGGCATCATTTACTAAATAATATCTTTTGTGAAAAATTATCTAGTCTTAAGATTCCGATTCATCCATGATGTTGCCATGTTGAAAGCTTGCGGCCGTATTTGACACTATCAAATTGGAAGTATATAAAATTTAGATTTTTGGGTCAATTTAACCTTTTTTACTTTGAACTTGAAGGGCATTCTATCCACACAAAAAAAATGTTATTATTATTTTTACTTATTGGGCATAATTGATTACTTATTCACTTGTTTCTAAATAAAATTAATGCATTACTTGATTATACTAAGATGAAGTAGAGTTGAAATTGTTTGAATGTGAGTAATAGTTTTGCAAATTATGGTTTTGATTTCTAAAATTGTGGGAAATTATGTTGAATTGAAATTAAATATATATATATATATATTTATGAATTATTTCAAGAAGGTTGGTTTCATGCAATTGTCCTGGTGTTAAAAAAAAGAAAGAATAATCCTATCAAAGAAAATTCTTGGAGCTACCATTGCCCCGTCTATCACCAATTGTGTAACGTGAATTTGACATCTGTGAATTTTTGATTTGTATTTTGGAGTAGCATTCTACTGTTAGAATTAAAGGCAGATGAATATGACTTTAAGTTAGGGCATTGACTTGGTGCTTCTCACTGGCTCAGAAACTATATCCTTTTCTTTCTTATTTAATTTGAATTATTATTTTTGTTTATTAGTTTTCTTGCTCTGCGCTTTTATTTGTTTATTGATTTAGTCATAATTAGTTAAATTTTTATTTGTTAGTCCTACACATTACATCTTGAATGTTTTGATGGTTTGTCTTAAATGGCACCAACAATTACTACATTCAACTGCCATGGCTGCAACTGTTGGCCAGTGTGCTTATGGTTTGGTTGTGTTGTATTTTTGCTGTCTGTTAAACCACATTGTTGACAGCGCCAAAATTGTTTTGTCAGTAGAGTGGCACTAGTGGTTGCATCTGGATGGCTCACCACCCATCTCCACCCTTCTCATAACTAGTAGAAGTGAGAACCACCGCCTTGGTATTGTTGGTCACAGGTGGTGAACACCGGCAAGCGGTGTGTGGAGCTTAGTATAGCTTACTACAAGCCATTAGTTTACCTAGTTTTGGAATTTAAGCAACAATGAATTGAGAGAAGGAAACAAGTAGTATCAACATGTTGAATACAAGATATTGTAGCAAATATATCATATCATAGTTTTTTGATTTAATACAATCATGAATTGAGAAATTTAACAATGGGATCAAGGGTCCCACAAACTTTAATTGAACACAAGTAGCTGAAAAAACTTAAGCATCAGACCAAGTAATATCCAACTCGCCCCAGTTATCATGAGGGACACCCAAGGCTTCCCACACAGCTTTTGAGGCATCGACGATATTGTTTGCACATGGGGGTTGATAGTCATGGTCGCCATCGCAGCCCATGGTGGAGTCACACTCATCAACCACCATAGCCTTCACGCTTCGTCCATTAGCACTTATGGTGATATAGTTGTGGCATCTGCTCCCTCTGTTGTACCATCCGGTTGATAGTGCCACAACTGGTGTGTCATCAGGGTGGTTCTTGTTGTCACATTCTGATGGGCCACCACCATCTCCACCATCTTGGAAGCTATTGAGAGTAAGAACCGCCTTAGTTTGACCAGAAACTGACGGCGAACACCTATATATTGGGTAGAGTTTGCCTTGCACACAGCAGTCGGAGCCATTCTCTTTGTTGCATTGTCCAGGGGGAGGTTTTCTCCCCCTAATGTTGCCACTAGTTTTGCAGACCTGAGCCTTAGCTTCTGGACATTGTGCTACTAGAAGAGAGAACAAAATAAGAAGAGATGCTCCCAATTTCAATGTCTTCATTCTCTCTCTCTCTCTCTCTAGACAATGTGTTCTAGTGCTTGATATGAATCATCAGATTGCAAGTTTCTGCTATATATAAGATCTCATGTTGGAAAAAACAATGAAGAGTTCAAAATTTTGAAGTTACCTTACTGTCTATACAGGCCAAGTTAGCAGTTCTAGCCTGTTTGGTTAACTAAATAACCAGATACCCTATTATTAGTTCATGAGTTGCACTCTAGAGTTTGATGTGTAAGACTAGTTCCATATGTTTAAGGGATTGAGAATTGTGACAGAGATATAAAATGCTGAGAATAATATGTTAAATCTTCGAAACTTATTGTTTAATGGTCACTCTGTTACATCACTGCCATTAAATCACTTGCATGGTTAAATAAGTTTTTTATTTTTTTTATTTTATTTTTTCATTAGTAGTTTACAGCTAAAGCTGCAGTCTCAATTGGCTGCAAATTATATTTGTGGAGCAAATTAAATGAATTGTGCATTGGGTTTTAGTTTTTTTTTTTTTTTTTTTTTTTTTTTTTTATTGTTAAAATTTTTAATTTTTAATTTTTAATTTTTATTGTTGGTCATACAACGGAGATCAACAGAGACAGTAGTGAAGTGATGCGATACAGTGATAGTAGATGATAGTGATAGGGGAAGGGGTAGACCTAGATTGACGTGGATTAGTGTAGCAAATAGATATGTGAATCTCCTTAATTTGACTAACGAAATGGCATTGTATAGAGTCGAGTGGAAAATAAAGATTCATGCAGTTGGTCCCATTTGATGAGACTTAAGGCTTGGCTTGGTTTGGTTTATTGTTAGAAATTTTAGGATTCAATGTTTCATAATTTATTTTGTAGGGTCGAAAGTTTTTGTTATTTATTTTATTTTATTTCAAATTTTGGTTTAAATCCAAAAAATATGTTTTTTGGACTTCAGGCTTCAATTACTAAAGATGTCTTTTGTGAAATATAATCAAGAGTCCCATGATTCAGATTCATCCGTGGGCCATGCCTTAAGTTCAAAAAACTTACTAGATATATGTAGCAAGTTTTTAAAGTTTTTAGAGAGATTACTCTGGTGATTCAATGGTATATAAAATTTAGATTTTGTGGTCGATTTGGTCTGTTTGCTTAGCACTTTGAGGTCATTCTAAGGAGTCTCTAAATGCATCCCATAAAATTGTTGACATTCCATTTTTCTTATGTTTTTAGTGTGGTGCTAATTACTTCCTGCTTTTTACTTTTTCTCCTGAACCGCCACCCCTTCCTATTTTTTGTGGTGGCACTGGTGGTTGATTTTTGATGGCTCGCCACCCATCTCTACCGTTCTCGTAACTGGTAAGAGTGAGAGTCACCGCCTTTGATGTTAGTTAGAATCATTCTTATCATTGCATTTTCCAGGAGGGGGTTTCCACTTGGCTTACAAACCTGATCTTCGATCTCTAGAAAAATATGCAAATAGTAGGATAAAGAATAGTCTCTCTTAGTGCCCTTGGCTCTTACCAACTTTTGGATCTCGGAAGGGTTAGATGTATGCGGTTTTAGCATTGCGAGTGAAGAGGCTATTACGTGATTTGAGAGAGCAAATGCGTCTCTGCATGGGGCTAGTAGTTGGAAATGAAATTTGTGTTAAGTCATAGTCGATATTCATCTCAGCAAGATTATGACCTTGTTTGGTAGGGTCTAATTTCAGCTTTTAACTTAATTTAAGTTATTTTGAAGTGTTTGGTTCAGTTTAACAATACAACTTATAGTTTTTTGTAAGTCAAAAATCAACTTATTCTTTGAGTGGGGGAGGTGAGTCTTAATTTATAAGTCAAAAATTAGATTATGTTCACAATTATAAGTTACAAAGTGTTAGGGTATAAGTTATAATCACTTTCTTACAGCTTTACCAAACGGGGCCAATGAGAGCTCATTTTTCATACTAACCACGAATCTCAACAAGAAATATTCTGTAGATATAGCATGGTAGAAATTATTTAGCTTACCTAGTTTTGGAATTCATACAACCATGAATTGAGCACACAAAAGAAAGCAGTTGTAAACACAAATTTCGTCTCTTGCAACAAAGAGCAACAAATACATGTTCGAAATTTGATTTTATTAATCTGTACTATTATTAATAAAAATGAACAAATCATTTGGTGTCCAAATGTTAGTGGATTCTCTTTATGTCATGTGTCTTTATTTTCTTATTTGAAATAAAAACAAAAATCAAATAGTCAACAAGAGTAAGACTCAAACCTTTGACCTTGAGTTTAATAAATAAGACTTACTACTTGCATAACATATCATATATAGTAAAAGGTTATTTTTATGGGGTACTTACGTGCAGGTCTTAATTCGTAGACTTATTGTCTAATAGGTCTTATGAGAAAAATTTGTCATAAAAAAAGTCATTAATTGTAAATTTTAGCGACAATTTATAAAAATCATAACAAAAAAAGTCACTAATTGGTAATTTTTAGCAACATATATAAAAATTTGTCATAAAAAAAAAATACTTTTAACGACAATTTTATCAAGATTTATTTTCAACAGGATTTGATGAGAATTAAGTCTAACTATTAGGATCTATTGATAGTTTTTCTTATTTTTTTTATTTATTTTTACATATTTAAAATGAACACGCATCATGTGTGGCACTTGTTAGTTTAAATAAAAATGGAAATGGGTACAATCCTTAATGGTTTTACACCATATTACCATTGGTGAACCTCTAATTTGTTCTCTTTTTCGGGTTTGGAACCATTGGATTTCATGAGTTTGATCTCTGAATCAAACACTAGTAGTTTTTTGCAAATTTTCAAATGCAAAAAGATTGAAGAAATCTGATCGAGGTCTAAGTAGCCTAATCTTGAATGGCAGACCGATGATTCTTGCACTTGTTGAATTACTGGGAAGTGAAAGAGAAATCCCTACAAATTTTGTGTAGAAGATTAATCTTTAAAAGTGTAAATTTGTTGAAGAACAATGGAGACTTGTTGAGCGTGTTCTTCTTCAATGGAGGCGGCAAGTTTTGTAGAGACTTGATATGAGTTTTGTATAGACTTGGTATGAGGAGTGTGAGAGAACTTTTTGGCAGAGGTTTGGTTTTTTCTTGTAGAGACTCTGTTTTCTTTTTAACAAATGGGCTTGTATTTATAGGTCGGTGGGGCTACATAATTTTAGAATTCCCCACGTTAAATACTTGTTTGGCTGAAATTAAGAGAATGTCTCCTAGAATTTTAGAAACAAATTTGAATTTTAGTGCGTCCATGTTGAAGATGCTGACATTTGTCATTGAGGGACTCACATCCATGGGTTGATTTAGTTTGTTACCCCATACTGTTAGAATGGTTGACCCATGCTGTTAGAATCTATGAAGCATGGACACGCCAAAATAGAAGTCGTGGCGGTGTCGGATACGAAGACACGCTAGGGACACATACGGGACATGCCAGATGGCTTGTCCCTTTAATTTAATTTATTTTTTTACAAGGGACACGCATGAAGACACGGCTAGAACACGGTTGTCAAACTCTGGAACATATCATGGGATAATCCTTTGACGGCTATCATATCTTCGATTGTTCTCTTCGTCATGCTCTTCTCTCTCTTTGATCTCTAAGGGCTCTTCGATCATCTTCTTAGGGGTTTTCGTATCATCTTCGTTTGTCTTCAACTCTCTGTCTCTTCTCTCTCTCTCTCTCTCCTCTCTCTCCTTTGCATAAAAATTTACTTTATATAATATAATCGATCATATTATATATAATTTATCATATTTAACTATGTATAATAACAATTATAAATTATAATTTTTATTCAGGCTACTAATAAAATATCTACATCTGTTTTACATTTTCTTAAATATCATATTACAATAATAAATTTTTGTAAATTATTAATTTCTTACACTTTTTAATCAATATTAATAAATAAAATAAATTTCTAATTATTTAAAAGAAATCTAAATTAAAATATATACTATAATTAAAAAATTATAAAAATAAAATATCTATTTTTTTTTTATATTTGTTTTAACATTATTTATCTATTCCTTTTTTTTATATTATTTTTTATTTATGATATATATCAATTAAAAAATAAAAAAAAAATAACCAAATAAACATTATTTAAAAAATATAATAAATAGACAAAATAATAAATGTGTATTAAAATAAAAATATTTATAAAAAAATTAAAAAATTTTCCGTGTCCATTGCTGTGTCCATGTCTCTATTTTTTAGAAATTGCCGTCTGTGTCTGTGTCCGTGCTTCGTAAGTTAGAATTTTGATAGATCAATCAAGAATTTCGATCAATCATGATAATTTAATTTTTATTTGATAGATCAAACGATAATTAAACCATTTCTATCAAAGCAAGTGGAGGCTATTGTCATAATTTGACTAATTTGACAGAGATTGAATTTTTATGTTGGAGTAGTTGGTAATGGAATTTCTGGGTTCAGAGAAACAAGAAATACTCTAGTAGATATAGCATGGTATAAACCATTTAAGTTTATCTAGTTTTGGAATTGATAAAACCATGAATTGAGAAACAAAGGAGGTAGGAGCAACAAGTTGAATAACATTTAAGAAGTACATAGTTTTAGGGCTTCATACAATTATGAATTTAGAAATTTAACAACAGGATCAAGGATACACGAACTTCTAATTGAACATTATATGAAAAACTTAAGCATCGGACCAAGTAATATCCAACTCGCCCCAGTTCTCATGAGGCACGTCCAAGGCTTCCCACACGGCTTTTGAGGCATCAACAATATTGTTACCACACGGGGGCTGATAGTCATGGCCTCCATCGCAACCCATGGCGGAGTCACACTCGTCAACCACCATAGCCTTTACGCTTCGCCCATTAGCACTTATGGTGATGTAGTTGTGGCATCTGCTTCCTCTGTTGTACCATCCGGTTGACAGTGCCACAACTGGTGTGTCATCGCGGTGGTACTTGTTGTCACATTCTGATGGGCTACCACCATCTCCACCCTTTTGGAAGCTGTTGAGAGTAAGAACAGCCTTAGTTTGACCAGAAACTGCTGGCGAACATCTGAATATTGGGTAGAGTTTGCCTTGCACACAGCAAACAGAGTCATCCTCTGTGTTGCATTGTCCAGAAGGTGGTTTTCTCCCCCTAACGCTGCCACTAGGTTTGCAAACTTGACCCTCAGTTTCTAGACATTGTGCTACTACAAGAGTGAGCAATATAAGAAGAGATGCTCCTAGTTTCAAGGTCTTCATTCTCTCTCTCTCTAGACAATGTGTTTTACTGCTTGATATGAATCATAAGATTGCAAGTTTCAGCGATATTTAAGATCTTGTATTAAAAAAAAAACAATCAAGAGTTCAAAATTTTGAAGTTACCTTACTGTCTATACAGGCCAAGATAACAGTTCTAGCCTCTTTAGTTTACTAGTTAACTAAAAACCTGAATATTAATTTATTAGGTGCACTATAGAATTTATTGTTATACTAAAATATAGTTCCATACGTTGAAGGGATTGAAAATTGTATTTATCTGGTATAGAATAATGACTGTACTGTAATATGTGAAATCTTTTAGACTTCTTGTTTAATGGTCACATCTCTATTGCCGTTGGCATTAAATCACTTGCATGGTTGAATAAGTTTTTATTTATTTATTAGTATTGTACAAGGATGAGATGAAACAAAGTAGACCACAGACATACACGGTTAAAGCTGCAGTCTCAATTGGGTGAAAACTATTTTTGTGCTGCAAAATAAATGAAGATGGGTGCATCGGTTTTAGTTGTTTCTTTGGTTTATGTATAAAACGATCCTTGTCTGTTATTTAGGTTTAGTTTGGCTGAGGCGTAATAGCTACGTTATTTGTTAAAGAACACATGCAATTTTGGCTCAATTTTTTTTTTCTTTTGTAGGATAAATGACAATTTTAGGTTCTAAAATATGCATTCTTTGTCTTAGTCTCTCAAGTTTCAATTTTGTCATTTTGATCATTCAATTTGTCAATTTGAGTCAATTTAGGCCTCGTTTGAGAACAGGCTAATTAAGTAACTTTTTTGGCTATTTGGCTAAAATATGAGTTAAAAAAAACTAGTATGTTTGGGATGACTTTTTGGCTTTTTACGAAAAGATGTGCAAAAAGTAGAGAGAAAAAAGAATCTTTGACTTTTTGGTATGGGTTGTTGGCTTTTTGGCTAATTTAGTAACTTTTTGACTTTTTGACTAAAATGGAGGGTTCCCAAAGTCCTACTTCTAATGTCCGTTTACATTGATAGCTGAAAAAATGTTTTATTCTTAAATAAAATGATAATTTTGGTTCATAAAGTATGCATTTCTTATCATTTTAGTCCCTTAAGTTTTAAATTGTCACTTTGGTCAACAAAAGTGTCGATTTGAGCTAGGACTAAATTGACTTAAATTGTCAACTGAGGACCAAAATGACAATTTAAAACTGGAGGAACTAAAATGACAAGAAACACATCCTTTAATGAACAAAACTGTCTTTTAACCATCTTCCTGTTACCAATGTAAATTGACATTAGATTTTAGAGTAAATTAACTCAAATTGACAACTTTGAGGGCCAAAATGACAAAATTGAAACTTAAGGGACTAAAATGAAAAACAATGCATACTTTAGGGATTAAAACTATTTTTTATCTTTTTTTTGATAACCGGGTGTTCGGGTCAGTTTATGCGCACCTCAACTAATCCCGGGACCCTGATGTTAATGACCGGTCAAATCTCTAGTGGTCCTAAGGTTTAGAATGTTTGGCCTTTATGAGATTCGAACTTTCAACTTCTTGCGTAAGAAGTCCTGTGGTTACATTCTCTTATCTTGAACCCTAAGCCTCTACTCGTTTGACGAAATGTTTTTTTTTTTTTTTTTTGGTGCCAAAAAGCTCGATTATCTCTATAATGCCAGAAAAAAGTTAGGTTCGTTTTGAGCTAATAAGCTAGTTTTTTAACTAGTCTCAACAAGTCTTGAAATTCCATGTGTTGGGTGTTGTGAATCCCTGATAATTCCATGTGTTCGGTTTTTTAACTAACTCTCAACAAGTCTTGTCCTGCTTTTTTCAAATGTCTTAGTTATTTTCTGTTGCATCACTGGTGTCATAATTTTATTTAGGGGTGTCTCTTGTATTGTGGAAGTGAAGAACAGAGTTATAATCATTTTTTGATCATAGTTTAAATTATAGTGGCTGTGGATGTAATCCTATTATGGGGTGGACAACGTAAATTTTTGTATTATTGTGTGTGATTGATTTGATTTGTTTTCTTATTTCTTATTTTATGTCTCGCAAATCTGATTAGGAATTGCGGATTTCCTAACACCATGTTAATGATTATTTGTATAAATCCAGATAATTGGAGTATAATGAAAGGGACTCCGTTTTCTCAGGTTCAGTTAGTGTTGCAATCGAATCGAGCCGAATTTTAGTATGTTTGGACTTGTTTATTAAGATTTTAACGAGTTCGAGCTCGAGCTTGAAATCAATAAAAATTTAACGAATTGTGTTCGAGCCGAGTTGGTTTAGCTTAGCTTGACTCGAGTTCGAGCTTGTTCATGGGTCTCAACGAGGCAAAAAATTTATAAATTATACTTGCATATTTAAAATCAAAACTTTGATTATACAATTATATATAGAATATATATAAATATATTGAAAAAATTCAATATCTTACTAAAATAATAATATCATCTGCTACTATTATATAAATGTATTATCTATAGTTAGCTATTATTTATATATAAATAAATTTAGCTATTGTTTACATTTACATTATTTAAATATATAAATAACATATTTATACTATTTTTTTATACACATATTTATATTATTTAATATATGAATAATATATTTAATTTATTATTTAAATAAATGTTAAATAAACCTTGCTAATGAGCCGAGTTTTAGTATCTTTAAGCTTGTTTATCAAAATTTGAACGAACTCAAACTTAAACTCAATAAAATTTTAATGAACCAAATTTGAACAAGCTCTTACCAAATTGAGCTCAAATCTATTCACAAACGACTCTATTCATTTGCAGCCGTAATTGTGTTGTTGGTTATAACTTATAGTGATGGTAGTTATAACCTATCATGATTATTAGTTTGGTTATAATCCAAAAAATCATTAGTTATATATTGTGGTGTTTGGTTACAAGTCATTTTTTTTTTAGTTATAGTATAAAAAAATTTAGTTATAATATTTGTGATAATCAACATCACAAATGCCATAACTTGTATAAAAATATTTATCAGCATCTATAGTCAAGTCTTGATATTATACAATGGGGGGTGTTTGGTGCAGATTAAAGTAGGTGTTTGAGATTTACTTGTTTGGTATTTTTTTGTTTTAAGAGGGAAAAAAGTCAGAGACAGGGATGCATTGCTTCAAGAGAAATTAAAGAAGACATCTCAGGCGGGATTTCTTCGATCCAAACAGACAAACCAGAGGAACAAGAAGCCCGTCAAGCCAAAACATGTGCCGCTCTGTTGCCCAATTGTGGGACATGAGATATACAAAAGCTACTAAAACCACTACACTCC